ACATATATATATATATATATATAATGTATAATAATTGAAATGTGACTGTATTTTACAAATTACTAGTCTACTAAAACACATCCAAGACAGGTCACTTTGTAAAGAGTAAAGGTCAGTTTCATATTATTGGATATAGTAACATGAGTGCACGTGTGCTGTGTCATTGTAACTTCTTTATTGTTAGTCAGGCATGACTAAAAGGTCAGTATAATAAATATATATAAATGTATAATGTTATGTCATTCTAGAATGAAAGAAGCATAATTTATATTTATTTCCTAATTTTTTATGGTGGTTACAAGATCGGTCAAATCTACTGAACCCATACAGAGATTTGTTAGTGAAAAATAACAGATAAAATATAAAGTTTTTTTTAAGAAACATTTGATAACTATCTGGACATTATAAAGATTTCGCTTGTGAAATTTGAAAGTTTTCTGATGCATAAAAGTATTTTTAATCTTAAAATGAAAATTACTTTGCATGTTGGATAGGCAACATGTGAAAAGAAAAAAAAGGCATGAGAAAAACATTGCTCAACAAACTTAATAAAAAAATTGATATTTTGCATATGAAAGCATTGTCATTTTTACTGATAATCTGCCAAGTTTCATTAACATATGCTTTCTAATGAAAACTATAACAAGTACAAAATGGTTACCAGGTTGGTCCCTGCAACTGAGCTGGGCTGAAAGAGTTGATATGCCTTTCAGTGTATGTTGTTTTGGGGGACTTGCCCAGACCTACTTCCTCTTTTGTGGAATCTGTTAATCAGTTATGTTCTGTTCTTATCTCCTGTTTTCTATGATTCCACTCCACCCCTGCCCTTCTTGGGGATGATTCTTTGAGTCATTATTTAATGTTTTCTCCTTCCCCGGATATTGGGGTTCATTTGAGTTGTTTTCGGGAGCAACTGCATTTGGTGGTCATTATACCTCAATCCCCACATATTATGGATGATCATGTTTTTGCTTGTCATCATTACAACTTCCCTTATTTAGATTCACAGTGGTTGGAGACACTTATCCATTTCAGGGGATTGGACTCCAATATTTCAGTTACCTTTTCCCAAGTTTCCTTGTATTTGTCAAACTCTGACCAACCTTGCTTATCCTCCCTTCACCTTTTGTATGAGGCCGTTTGTTGTTCTCCTGAGGGGTTTTCAGAGGAAACTCAGAATCTCCTATTTGCTACCATGGCATGCCTTTCCTCTTTGGCCCTGGTATTACAGATATGGCTGCTCTGTTGTAGGGATCTTCCAGGTTTACCTCCCACCTCGTTGCATTACTTGTGTATGGTACCTATTTTGCATCAAGAGGTGTTTGGAGGTATCCCTGTCTCATTGGATACAAGGGTAGAGTTGGCCCATCTGCATACCTTCCTATCATCCTTAGCCTTTTATTTTTCCCACTAACTTGTTCCTATCTCTGTGTCTAACCTTCCTCTTCTAGCCCCTGTTGCCATTTTGTGCTCCTCTGTTTCTCTGTTAGCATTAAGTATTCCATTCATTTTCTTTTTTTTGCAGTGGCTTTTCTCACATATTTGGATCCCACTGTGTGGTGAGTGTTGCCTCACCAAGTATACTTAATCTTAAATCCACACTGTAAGACCTGTGCTCATATAACACATGAAAAGATTTGGGGCACTAATTTTCTTCCTACTGTGCATGTAATGTACAATTCCAGAAACTGCCCGGTGCTGATTGATTGATTCCATCAACATGATCTCTAATCTTTTTTACCATACAATGTCATAACACATAACCAGGTCATATTACACCCACCATTGAGATGGGATGTTACACAAGACTCCTAGTGGGTATACCTCGTGATATTTTGCTTCATAAATATATTTGTTCCAGACTGTACACTTATGGACTGACATGAGTAAACCTGACAGGGATTACTGCCCATATCTAATGATCCATGGCATTTGAGGCTCTTCCTATTGTGGACCTGAGGTACAATACCATACACCACTAGATGTTGGTTGATTGACTCCATCCACCTGATTGCTCTGCTTTTCAACTTTTCTAAATAGGGTATCATAGTCACTCATTACATTTTCTCCAGTGTTGCAGTCTTCTGGACTCATCAACATACTTTTCCCTCCTTATTTTAATGGAGTATGGGAGTCTTTTCCACTTGCCAGTTCTTAGCCACTGGGGTGGTGGACCATGGAGGTTTATCCTCCATAATTGCACTCACTTGAGAGTAGGGCAGTGGCATTCTGCCGGTATAGATGACATGACACACTTCCTAGCATGGACCTGATGTTAAATTCTAGGTGTTGGATATAGCACTCCATCATATTTATATTGCAGTTTACCCCTTTGATTGAGGCACCCTCCTTCCTACTGGATGCTGGTTTCCAGTGGATCTGGTGTTGGTTGGAGTTGAAGCTTAAGCCTATCCAGTGCTAGAAATTAACTTTGGAAAATTTAGAATATTCTAAAACATTCTAGAATACTTAGAATATGCAGATTTGATGCTAACTACAAGGTAAAATTTCAATATCTTCGAGAAACCCGTAAATGTTATTCAATGTGGATAAAATGCAATATGAATTCTTTACTTCTATATTGGAACAAAATGAGGGTGGGACACCATTGTAAATCAAAACTTCAAAAATAAGGACCATTCTGATGCACTCATTGAATAAAAACTAAAATATAGGTTGACTTGCCTGATGTCAAGCACACTTAAAGCATACCATATACAAATGTTAAAATTCTGTGTTCTCTTGAACTTAAAACTGATAGGATGCTGATGAGATAAAAGGCCCTTTCCAATTTCTTTCATGTTAGGCTTAAAGATTCAGAAATGGGCAAGATTGAAGCCAAAAAGAACTATCTAAGCAAATTGATTCTCTCAATACAAATGGCTGAGACACTATAAAGAAAAAGATTTGTTCTTTTGTGACTGGTGTTTGAAAGGGGTAAAAAATAATGTGTTTACAATGGCGAAAAGGCAGATTTTGGTACGTATAAATACTGTGGCTTTGAATAGACAACTATGGCTACAATAAATTCTTGTTGGCTAAAATGTTTGCTGAAAAATTAGGGCAAGCTGGCCCTAATCAGGTCAATCATTCCATAAATTCATAACTAACAAACTAGCAATTGTAGACCTATACTTAACAGATACTACAAATACTTTTGTCACATTTTTCATATTTTTCCATAAGAGATTTCAAATTAGTATTTTAAACCTATCTTTTGTGTGCCTCAAGTCACTGCCCAGGAAGCTTTTTGTTCATTAAAGTAAGATTTATGTCAGCCAAAAGTGTACTTGAAATGCTCTTTTTTATGCAGTACATTGTATAATAAAGGTATTGCTGTGATGAAATATGCTTAACCTAATAATTTCGGACTTTGATTTCATAACATTATCATTATTACATCAGAACTTAAGAAAAACAAGGTGAAAGAAGACTAAACTGCCTCACAATATTATTATCCATTGTTTAACGAAACCAAATGAAATGTAATTATAGTATTTTGGCACTTGTGTATAAAGTTAAAATCATAAATAATATTCAACGTTAAACTGGTACACAATTAAAAACATTTTATTTAGGCCTATCTATGGCCTTCAAAAAGTTGACGACTCTACATATTTCGAGGATGACGTTGGAACGTCGAAACATGTAGAGTCGTCAACTCTTTGAAGGCCATAGATAGGCCTAAATAAAATGTTTTTAATTGTGTACCAGTTTAACGTTGAATATTATTTATGATTTCAAATGAAATGTATTCTTTACATTAATATTACCATTCAATACAAATGAATTCGAATTATTTACACACTACTTTATTGGAAATACTGTTAACTGATTTTTTAATATTAATATATTAAATAACTTTATTCGTTTTTTGTAGCACAAACAAATACTTAAATGTAGCTGAATGCTTTAGTGTTTAATCTTTTTAAATCTTTCTTTTCTACCCAATTCCAATTCAATTCTCACACAAGGCTCTTTTAGATAATGGAAGTTTTCTTGTTCGAATCAACTCTTCATTGAATTTTAGCAGTATCAGAAAATATTAAAATATTCCTGTGTACAAAGTTTCACAGACTCTTAACAGACATAATGAACAACAGAAAGAACCATTATTAACTATTCTAAATGAAGCCCTACTATAGTCTTATACATTTTTATGTAAAGAGTATGTACAAGTGATTATAACATATAGACAACAAGGGGCCACTTGATCTTTCAAGACTTTCCTTACACACCCATCCTTGAGAAAAGTAAAAACATAATGTACCCTTTATTATCAATTCCTTACTAAAACACCTTTGTAAAGTGCTGGCCCTCATTCTTTCTTACAGTAACTCATTCCATAAGTCAATCACCTTGTTAGAAAAATAATACTATTTTAACTGGAGCATAGCCTGTCTTTTTCCAGTTCTTAAATGCATATCTTCTCATCCTCATGTCTTTAACCCTTTATCTTTTATGGAAGGGTTTTTTCCATTACTAATTGGTGTAGATGTACAGGTGGAGATGATGTCAAGCATGCATAAATATGTTGGTGGAAATCATAAAGAATTAAAATATAGAACAGAAAAATTGGAGACCTTTCTCCTATCAGTACCCTGAATAATCATGTACACTCCAATAAGATCAGCTCTTATCGTTATTTTTTCATGAGAAAATAAGTTAAAAGATCATAATTTATTCCTGTTACATAACTCTTCCATCTTTGTGTACCCGGTTTTCTCACGTATTATAAGCTTGTTTGTGATCCAAGTTATGATAGCCCAAATTAATTACTTTACATGTATTTTAATTGAAGCCCACTTGCCAAATATTTTTCAAACATATCAATTGATCCGTGTCATTTTGTTGTACCTCAACATTCTAAATACAGCTAAAATACCCAAGATTTTAATGTAATCAGTAAAACTTGATAAATTATACTCCCTGTCACTGTCATAATATAACTAATAATGGTCACATTAATGCAGAAATTTAGATCTTAGATGTAAAATATATTAACTAGATGAAAAACAAACAAACTTGTTTGGCGTTCAAGGGATGCATAAAAAATGGGAAAGAGAGGAATAAAAGAAGATTGGGAAGGTGTTACTGTTAAATTAGATTTTTCCTTCTGACAATGGAAATGCATGACCAAAATTAAATGAAACTCAGAACCAACTTACTAAATACTTAAATAGCTCAATATTTTGTTATGAGATATTGTTTTGAACAAATATTAAAAATACTTCCTTTGTAATTAAAAATTAATTTTAGGCTTGAAAGTTATTAAACCTAAGTTCCTGCCACACATTGCTGTGTTGTGTTATTGAAATTAATGAATAATATATTTGATTCCCTTTGGGTAAAAGTGCAATGAAATTAGTTTAAATCACACATGTATCAATTTCATTTTTGCTTAAAAACTTGCAAAAATAACCATTAGCAGGTAATTTATCATAGAGCAGGTGACAAAGCAAAAATTCTGATCAGTATGTAATTCAGGACAACTTTCATTTAGACAGTTGAAGGGTCATGAAGTTATGTATGGTTGTGGTTACTTTATGAAAACATTTTCTCTAAACAAAATGGCAAGATTTTATTCATGTGCAAACAAATGGTAGGGTAAGATGCTTTTGAAGGGTGTTCATTTAGGTAATTTTACGCTTTACACTGGTCCTTTCCACTGCTCAATGCTGGATTCTAGCTGAAACTATGAGTGGAGGTAAGCAATCGTATTGGAAGTTAATATTTTCCTACACTGAAAATAATATTCTCACACTTCCCATCCATCCACCCACCCCACTTCTGGTGTTGTTTTTCATGCCTTATCTTGAAGTGAAGATTGGGTTCAACTGCATAGTCAGCTGTAATAGGAGGGTGTGTTGCACTTTAATTGGTGGAGGGTTGTTGTATGCTTAAATGCAACTGAATCATGTGGTATACATGTGAAATTAGGTGGGAGTTCAACTCTAGTGACAAGCAAAATTTGTGCACTAGAAGGCAGTCAAGTCTAGAACAAGTGTAATTGTGAGGGAAGGTATTAACTTCTAATTATTAACCTATAAATATTATTAGTGTAATTAAGATCA